TTAGCAGGAGCTTCTGCTTATATCAAGGTAGATCATCTTTTGAGTGATTATTATGCAGCGTTGCCCAGCCTTTGTTGACTATGAAGTCATCACTGCAGCCTGGCGAGAAAAATGCGACGATCTCCACTAGTGGTTGAACCGGAAAAGCATCGACTGAAAGACCAATTGGACAAATGATAGTCTTAAGTCTGGCGATAAGACGCCACCCCTAGATGCTGGCTGGAATGGTACCGTGATGTCGGTGGCGGGGACAGGTTATAGATAGCTCACGCTGTGTCGCCTGAAGCTAGAAGAGGACTTGTAAGCTCAGTCTGAAGTTGGAAACTGGTTTATCTCGATCAAGTCGCATGATCACTGGCTAAATAGGGGTTGGATGAGCTGCATAAGCTTTTGGCACGGATAGTTGGATCATGGGTTTTGGTCAGCGAGATGTTTGTTGAAGGAAGGGTCGATCTGGGATGACGAAGAGAGCTTCCCCGGCTGTGAATCATGTGCCTTGGATTCGCTGGAGACATTTTCCCTGATAATTGCGTACATTCTAGCGGCGCCGCCATCTGCCACTATTCCTAACCTTGAATTACATCTTCGTATGCTTAAAAATCAGTCTCGTAAATCCACCTGATTCAGATAAGAAAGATGGGTGTGACGACGGACATATTCGACAATATGCCACACTACCATTTGAAGAGATATGAAAGGGTATAATGTAAAAATAGCCGCAAAAGACTCGGGAACAATTGATTACCGAATGCTTCGCTGTTCGTCCGTATAACTGTTTTCTTCAATTTCTACCACCATTTAGAGATTGGCAGCTCCCGTCAGCGTCTAGAGATAATAAATGAGGGATCATCCACCTCGATGTCTTCAATAGACAGCGACGGAAATTGACGTTTCACATATCAATAACAGATAGTGTAGGAATCTAACAGAACCTTCCTAGACAGGACGACTCGATGTATATAAAGCCTCTGTGCCACGATTCTAACTTGATTTGGACACATCTTCTCCACAACACGACACTATCAACAGCATTAGCTCTAACCAGTTCAAAAAAAAAATTCCTACACCAATGGATAATACGTGCGAGGGCTGTGTTGGTGGTCTAGAATTCTGGGGATGTGGGTGTGAAATTCACCATATCTACAAAGAATACGAGAGTTGCACTGCTTCCCCAAAGCATAAATGCCATGAAGTAACTAAGATATCCTGCAGTAATCCAGATGGGCCTGGTTGCAATGAACATGATGGCAAGGATGGCTTGACCACTTCGTCGCATGAGATAGTTGAAGATCGAGAAATTGCCTGTCCATTTTGTGTTCATCCTCCTGGTATGAGCAAAATGATCTTGAGTCGTGTAGAAGATCCGAAGACTAATAATATCTAGACAATGGTGATGAGAAGATCTCGCCTGATAGAAGCAGAGGACTCAGGTTCTTTACAAATTGGTTTGCTCGGAGGGCCAAGAAAGAATAATAATACTCTGTGACTGTGGGTGTCAAGGAGAGCCTGGGACCATCATGATAAGCCGTCTTTGTGGCAGGTGTATGTTGTAACATCACCAATGGTCCCGAGTCATAAAAATTGACATCTACACATGTGAGACCCATAAATACTGTCTAGCAACAGCCATAACTTTACAAGAGACCTTCTGCTGCTAATCTTGTTTTGGGTTTGTTGTTAGCTTAGTCTTTTACTTATTGTATTTGCGAATACAAAACGTGATCTGTCTTGAACTGTTATATTGTAGTGATTGCCCTATTAGGTGAATCGATGCAAATTAGATCAGCACGTGCACCCACGTGTATAAAAATGGGAAGGCACGTGTTGATATTGACTGTTGAGAAACTCCACTCTCTGCTTTCCCTCTAGGTCCGAAATATTATCTGAGTCAATTGCCTCTTGTTATCGTGTTCTGATATCTGACAGTTCGCCGGCAATTATCAAACTAGTAGCGATCCCTGAAGTATGGACAAGCCTGAAGTAAAGGAGTACCAAGAGTACTGTCCCCCTGGAGTCAAACGTGTGATTGCGTCAGGTGGAAGCGCATGGATAGGAGAAGTCTATGTAACTACAGTACTGGAATACCCTCACGCGCCTGAAGACACAGACACCAGTCGGCTCGAAACAGAGAGACGCCTCCTCGAGATTGTCGGACCTCACGAGCATATCATCAAAGTGAAAAGATGCACAGACAACAGATGGCTTTATCTAGAGCGTGCGATCAACGGGAACCTAGATGACTACTATCTCAGACCGGCACATCCACATCCACCACCATCCCTTGAGCAGAGGCTAACTTGGTGCCAAGAAATAGCCGAAGCAGTTACATGGGTTCACAGTCGGGGAGTTATCCATTGTGACATACAGCCCAGAAATATACTTCTGGATGAAATGCTACGCGCCAAGCTAGCTGACTTCCAAGGGAAGCATTTGTCAGAGGATGGTACCGTGCTTCTTGAGGGATGGAGCGGAGAACCTTGCAGGTTTTATTGCCCTCGTCGCGACCCCTTTGACGCAGATGTGCAGACAGATCTCTTTGCTCTGGGATGCACGATCTATTTCATTATGATGGGGCATGATATGTTTCCTGACATCGCTGATGGAGACAATGCGTGGTTTGAAAAAGTCGAGCATAGGTTTGCAACGCAGCAATTTCCAGAAGATAAGCATGCTTGCAGCGATATCACTCGCAAATGCTGGCACAAGGAGTAAAACTCTGCCAATGATTTGCTTCTGGATTTGTAGGTTATTCGAGAGAAATCATTCGGCTAGCTTTATACTGTATTGCTCATCTCTCATGTTGAAGCCAAGCCGGCGTTTGTGCCAAGTAGATGGCAACGGCTCCTCCCAAGTCTGTCATTAATGCAGATCCACACTAGATAGCTATAGCTCCTTTGAGATCCTCTTAGATGGCCTTGACTTGATACCTCCTTAATACCTCGGTCACTTCATGAGACATGTAGCAGGAATCGACCATTATTACGTGTCACGTGACCGGCATACCCTGCAGTACCCGCAACGAGAAGTCCCAAAAACCTTCCTATGGAGACATATGGATGCGGCCAATGGTCAGCTGCGATGCTCACAAACATAATGACTTCAATTCGTTGAGCAGAAACATTGTTTCTGATATGCTGCTGTTCGTCTAGCAGAACATGATGTGATCGGTCGCTTATCAATACTCCGTGAGCTAAGCCTGAATCCTGCAGCTGCTATACGCAAGTTGACTCATCGGAGTCCGGTTATCTCCCCGGCGATAACAACGAGCTTCATCCATCCCCATCCCCTTCCGCCATTTCAATATCAACACATATCGCTCGCTACGTCGGGAAAGCGCGGGTTACACAACCCCTCCTTCCTTCGCACAATGGATTCCAAACTAGATCTGGAGTCGTCGCGCGGCTACGCAACCTCAGATGCAAAGCCAAAACCTCACTCTTCTCTGGCGCGCAACATGGGACGCGTGCTTCTGACCTTCGTTCTTGCGTGCTTTTTGGTCACTTTGACCAATGCGCGCCGATGCAAACACCCACAACCCGCACAGTCGCGAGTGGACAAAATCCTGTCGGAGACCCCGTTGATAGGTGAGTAGCTTGGTTTGAATGCCTACAATTGCCTTATCTAATGACCACAGACGGCCACGATGATCTACCCATCTTCATCCGCGAAATTTTCGGAAATCACATCTACAGCGATGATTTCAAAGTCCCCTTCACCGAGGGCAATTTGCTGGGGCATGTCGATCTGCCACGCCTCGCTGAGGGCAAAGTAGGCGGCACCTTCTGGAGTGTCTTTGTAGAGTGTCCGAAGAATTGGAGCGATTTCTCCGACGCAACCTATGCAACGAGTAAGCAAATCACGATACCTTCCGTGCATTTCTTACTAATATTGTCTATCCAGGTGTCCGCCAGACTATCGAACAGGTAGATGTCATGCTGCGCCTGCAACAAGCCTACCCCGATGTCTTTTCTGAGCCACCCAATGGGACGACTGCCCTTCAAGCCTTCAAGGAAGGAAAGATCATTTCCCCGCTTGGGATGGAGGGCCTTCATTCGATCGGAAACTCCCTAGCTCACTTGCGAAACTTCTATGATCGCGGCGTGGCATATGCAACTCTCACACATAACTGCCACAATCGCTATGCTGATGCAGCGCTTGTCGAAATACCCGGCGGCATCAAGAAGGCAGACCCGGTCTGGCACGGAGTGAGCGAGGCCGGTAAGGATCTTGTCTTCGAGATGAACAGGCTGGGCATGATAGTCGACTTGTCTCACGTTAGTGTGGACACTATGCGGGACGTCTTGGGCGCTGGAAAAGATGATTGGGCTGGTAGCCGTGCTCCTGTGATGTTCAGTCACAGCTCCGCGTACGCAGTCTGCCCCCATCCCCGCAACGTCCCGGACGATGTTCTGGAGCTGGTCAAAAAGCGTAACTCGATTGTGATGGTCAACTTCTCCCCAGACTTTATTTCGTGTACTGCTTCCGACGATCCGAACGACCTGCCTAAGCTTGATCCAGAGAATGCAACTCTGGAGCACGTAGTGGACCACATAATGTACATCGGAAACCTGATTGGATTCGATCATGTTGGATTGGGAAGCGATTTTGACGGTATCCCTACTGTTCCGCGTGGACTCGAGGACGTGTCCAAATATCCGGACCTGATCGCCGAGCTGCTGAAACGCGGAGTTAGTGACGAGGATGCAGGCAAAGTTGCTGGTGGGAACTTGCTGCGGGTGTGGAGAGATGTTGATCGGGTTGCCCTCCAGATGCAGGCTGAGGGTGCGCTTCCGGTTGAGGATGAGTTGTCCTGACTTGGTGCGCATAATGCGGGCCTCTGAGACTAGTATCACTGCTCAAACATTCTTTTACGTAGAGAAAACCGGGAAATAGCCATGGCAAATAACAATAAAGAATAATTAAAATTACTAGCCTTGACACCACATTAGAGCCCCCTAAAGAACCGACTTCATATAAGTGAACAGAGTACTAGAGCTGCTCTAATAATTGATCAACCACGGACATCTCTTTGTGTGCCACTGGCGGCACAAAGCGCACTTGAAAGCTCCAGGAGCGGCTACCCCTGTATTCAGTATATACTATAATCTCTTCAATACAGAGATCCTACCGTGCAAGTAATCGAAGTCATCTGCTCTGACGGTCACAGGGGAACCAGAAGTTTGCTGGTGGGAGCCTGAGCCTAATCCATGCTAGATCAGGGTTAACATTTACTAGTAGATGGATTAATCACTTATAGGTCTTACATACAGGCTCGTCTTTGTGAAGCTCATGCACTGATTTCTCTTTGTTTGTCTTTCGACTGTCATTTTGGGGTTTAGTGTTGTCCTTCTGTGATTTGAAGCTAGGTCGTATGTTAATCTCAGGTAGTGAATCAATAATTAGTGATTGCCCACTTACGATTCCACTGCTGGTGTCATTCTGATTTTGCAATGCTGAAAAGCTCGCACCTGAAAAATAGTAAGTGAGTCATCACCTCAGAGGGGCTTATGGGGTATGCCTGCTACTACTTGTCAGTATTGAATCATTTTTCTTGGCGCCTGCCCATTCACGTCACCAGCCGGAAGCTATATCGTCCCCCAAAAAAGAAGCATCAGATGAAGGGCCTGCCAGCAGTCACTCTTTCATTCCTCAGATGGCTTTTCGATCTTAACTGATAGGTACTTCTATCGTTACCCTGAGCGAGCCGGAAGTGATCATTTCTGTGAATTGCAGAAGCTTCTCCTTGCACAGAACAATGATTCTACTACCTCGAACACGGTATGGCTATTGTCATATGTTGCCGTTGCTAAGTGTAGGCAAGATGTGGCATGGTTTGGGAGAACCATACATACGACTATCAACTGGAACTCCTAAAGTGCATATGCGTTGGTCAATATTGTCGGCATCTACCGAACAGATAATGGAGGAAAGAGCAGTATTATAACCGGTATTACCCGGCCAGGGTTTAAGAGATTGCCAAATATGCAGTAAGCAACAGCCCTTAAATTACCCTTTGCTACCTAGGTATTCAGTATACCATGGGTTCATGGGATTCACAGGTCGGTTGTCAATTCATATGTCATGGGAAAAAAGTAAAAAGAAATCATGATGGATTGCATATATAAAGTATAACTATGACTTGTGAATATTAGCATAGACATGGACCCGTCTACTGAATCAGAAGATAGGGAGGTCCTACCCACCTGGAGGTTATAAAAAGCCTATAACTTGGCGTTTATGGCTTCATCTCATGGCATCCAGTTGTCCGAGTTTAAGAAACCAGATTATTCTTATACATTTCTGGGTACGATGAAAGAGTGAGTCTAATTACTTACCATCGTACGCTTTTCATCGTCTCTTTTTATATATATGCTACACGTTGCAGTTGTCAGTCTTTCGCGTCATTGAATCTAGAAAGTACTGTTAAACTATCATTAAGTTTGGACCAGTGGAAGGGCTACAGCCATCTAGACTAAGAGAATTCGAGAAGGATTTCTAGGTTTACCTCCATGCTAATATTGGGCCCTATACATAGCACCTCCGAGCAGTATTTCGACTACTCGGTATTATGCCCCATTATCGGCTGTCTGTGTGTGAAAGGATGCTAATACTGACTTTAGGCTATTCTTCGAGCACGACAGTACTGTACATTGGTTCGCTTTTGACGAGTATACTAGTAAAATGTTAATAAAACATGCTAGGAACTTCCACCGCCGCCCCCGTTGCCCCCGAGAACTGTATGTTGACGCAATTGAGGAATGGATCCAAGGAAGACGAGTACTGATTCACTGAACAGCCCTCACCTATTGCATTACCATCACGCTCTCCAACGCCTCCACCTGTATGTTTGAAACACTGTCAGCCGCCTCCACCTCCGCTACTACTCGCCGTCGTCAATAATGAAAGTATCGGTATATCTGGCAATAATTGGTACATCCTTACTACAAAAATCCAAAACCATGACTTGACAAGAAAGGCAACTATCTACATGAAATCGGTTATCACGAACGGGGCTCTACGCTGGCCAAAAAATGAACGTCACTGGGAATGGACTAAACTTGTTCTTTGATTCCTATAGTGGCTATGATGATTATCGATGGTCGACGCAAAACGCTTGGTAAATGTTTCTGGATAGAGGACATTGAGCACACAGTTGTCACCTGGACGCAGTCGGAAGATGGATCGGTTTTGGGTAGTATCAACTACAGTGAGAATGGGGGGATCGCATTTGGCGGAATCACATCTATGTGGCCAATTTTCTTTTCTGGGCAATGTCAGCAACGCAGATAAGAATATCAATCCACGTATAGTAGAAACCCATTGGGAACAAGGAGTCTGTGGTATTTCGATGTTAAAGACAGTCAGTTAAGCTTTGTTAGCATGGCTCATTAACGGTAGCACTTCTGTGCCATCCGAATGGGTTTCATCTGTTCGGAGGATGATTTGCTTATGGGACCCATGAATGCCAAGTTCTTTCATGACGCTGGTATTCTATGTGGGTATGCATACAGGTGTCGACCCAGAGGCCATAAACTTAGATTATTTGACACTAATAAAAGTTTATATTGTAATAGATCTCTTCCAATATCAAAATTTCTTCAACTCTGATTAGGTTACTCTTTTCGGCTTCGGTCTGACTATCTGACACTGTTGCAGTTGAATTTGACCCTGTCACATGTGGGTGCCCGACCACGTCATCATGTGGCTGTGAGGCTAGGATGTTGTCAGCCCGACTAGATAACTAGGCTGGATAAATAGTCAACGAAGAATCATCTTGCAAGTGCCGGGTCAATATATCACAAGTATTACAAGTTCAACAAGCTCAGTACGAACTACAAAGCGATTTTTTACATCTGTCAAATGGCGCAAGCTTTCACCTATTATCCTTTGGATCCGTCCTCTAAATGTATTAGGCTTCTTGAATTACTGCCATCTTCACCGTCTGAAACCGTTCGCTGCAAACTACATGTTGTCGACCGAACCTGCTGTCCATCTTACGTTGCTTTATCATATACCTGGGGTTCTCCGCAAAACAGGCAACCAATTGATTTGGATGATATGGAGTTTCACGTGCAAGAAAATCTGGGGAACTTTCTGAGTACCATGAGATTATGCCGGAGATGGCAGCTCTTCTGGATTGACGCAATATGTATCAATCAGTCCAGTATTTCGGAGCGGAATCACCAAGTCAACATGATGAGGGATATATATGCCGGAGCAGAACTTACGGTGGTATGGCTAGGCCAAGCCACTGATTCCAGTGACCTCGCTATCAAATGTATCGCAAATCCAGGTCTACCAGCTCAAGAAACCAGATCAGCCTTGGAGAAAGTATTACAAAGTCTACTGGAGCAACCATATTGGAGTCGAATATGGATTGTTCAAGAGCTCATGCTCGCAAAACACGTCATGTTTTACCGCGGCACAAAGAGCTTTAGTTAGCATCAGTTGGCATCTCTTCGCCAGACGATAAAAACCCATGTCGTGCACCATGATTCATTGGGTATCTCAAAATGTACAGGTTCGGTGATGATCGCACAGAAAGTACTCTGGGATAGCCTTCCTAAAGATGACCAGCACTTACCCCTTTCGGACTTGCTGATGACATATGGAAGGCATAAAAGTTCAGATATAAGGGATAGAGTGTATGCACTGCTTGGTCTTGCTTCGGAAAACTCAGTCCAGGCGAACTACAATCTACCAGTGGAAGACATATATATCGAGGTATCAATATGCAAAGAGAGAGATCCCAGATACCAGCTCTCCACCATCGAACATACGTTACAGGAAATGTTGTGTTTGCCGAAGGGCCTCAGAAGACCACACATTTCGAGAGGCAATCCTATACCTGCAGATGCCTTTGCGATCAAGGTATTGGAATTACGGCGGCAAAGGCTTGGTAATACACACCCCCATGTTCTTGAAGGAATGGCCAGTCTCGTACAGCTATACAGTGAGCAGGGCCGATCAACGTAAGTTGATCCAACCACAATTGAGGTACCGCAGATACAAGGAGAAAGATTTGCTCAGTCGATATTTAGGCTATTTCAACCTCGGCATGCTAAATTAATTAAGGCTGAGCACATAGGAGATGAAGTATTACAGCTGCAACAAGAAGTACTTGGTAAAAAAACATCCCAGCACTCTTCAAAGCATGGCAGACCTCGTGTCAATCTACTATTGGCAAAGCAGGCTTGATGAGGCTGAAACATTAGGGGATAAAGTATTACAGCTGCAAAAAGAAGTACTTGGTGAGAAACATCCCAGTATTCTTCAAAGTATGGTAAATCTTGGGTCAATTTACCGTGGACAAGGCAGGCTTAGGGAAGTCAAAGAAATATTGGACCAAGTATTTCAAAACATGGCAGATCTTGTGTCAGTATACCGCGAGCAAGGCAAGCTTAAAGAAGCCGAGAATATATGGGTCGAAGTGTTTGAAAGCAAAGCAGGTGTGTTGATATACCGATACCGCATGCGCAAGTCTAAGGAGGGTGAGGAATTGAGACTCAAGTTTTTGCGGCTGCATGAAGAAATATTAGGTGAAAATAATCCTCATTTCTTAAGAGAGTTGTTCGCATGAATCTCCGGCGAGACACGGAAGCTTGAGGAAAGCTAAGGGAAATATTTTTTGAAGCATGGCAAGTCTTATTTGTATATACCCTGAGCAAGTCAAGCTTAAAGAGGCTAAGAAAATAGAGAGTGATGTATTATAGCTGCAAAGAGGTTTACTTAATTATTCTGATATTCTACAAAGCCTGCTTTACCTTGTGTGAATACTGTCAGCAAGGCAGGCTTGCGATGGGCAGAAATATGGGGAGGGGGGCTGAAGTTTTCCCGGTTGAGGAGAATAGCTTAGTGATGATTTGAATCGACACTAGATTCTGTTGACATTAAATCCTCATATACAGACTTTACCCAGTATCAATAAAAATGGTTGCAAATCAATCTGGGTGATGCTTTGTATGTCACGTGGCTAGACAGCCTCCTTTTCCACAATACGATCTTTGCTTGATAGTGTTTCTCCTCTCATAGCCAAATTCTGCTGGATATACTACCATATCCAGCGGTCCAGCCATCTACCGTGGAATAGCTATCTATGATTTAGCGGTCATCAGTGCATCACATTGATATTGAACTTGTATGTAGAATCTCATGTTATCAGAAATAACTAATAGGATCAATCTTATTGAAGTACGACTGAGAAGCATTGACACTATCCGGAACAACTTGAGCCCATACATATATAGTATATTATTAATACCCGGGAGCTCAGCCAAAAGGGCAACCATCCGACTAATCTAGTACAAGGGATATCGGAAATTGGTGTCACCACATCTTACACTTCCTTTCTTCTTGGAACTCTTATTTGAAACCAAGCCAAACCTGTAATTATATCATATTAGAAATAACAAAATAAATTATTCTAAGCATTCTAGATACAAGAGCTCTTTGGCTCAAATTCTTAACACACTCCGACTGCTAAAGTACCTTCCCCATCGGGCAGTTCAGTGCGGGAGCCAATCAGAGGCCTCGCCGCTGAAGCCAAAAATTTCCTCGAAAATCCCAAGGAAGTCATCCATCCTACCCCAGAACAACTACTATCTAGCATTGACCTCTATCTCAAGAGAAAGGTCTGGGCTGTGCTAGTCTCATTGTTTTCGGTCCTTGCGACTCGCCTTCGCCCAAGTACCGATCCAGTCGCTTACTGCGATGTGTCCCCAGGACTCCGTCAACCCCTCTCACTACTACTAGTTCACCCAGTGCTCCCCCGCCCATACTCTCTATCTGGCCCGCCTCTTTGAGTCTTCACGCGGCCACAAGGGGTCTCAAATCCCACCACTGTCACACGGAACTCGTTTGTTCATCTTGATACACTCAACATGGAGGCATCTGCAAACGAAGGTTGTTTGCCTCGTTCTCTGCTACCTCACAAGTACTAACAGTTCATCTTCTTAGGTCTTTTGGCCTTCTGGCATTCCTACCGCTTGCCTCTCCTCCTCGCTCTCGCTACCCTTGTCGTTCTCGTTCGCGCTTATCGTAAGCTGCAGCCCAAGTCCAAGATTGCTACTGCTTCCTCCATCCCGTCGTCGCCTCGCAGCCACTCCCCGGAAAAACGTGATAAGACCATCAGCCAGTCTACGGAGAAGGATGTAAAAGCCGACTCAAAGCCCTCGGTCGTGGAGAAGGACGCGTCGCATAAGCAGGCCGGCGGTCCGAAGCGGGTCACAGGAAAGAAGCCACTAAAGGTTGCTGGTCGGCGTAGAGGTTCTGACCAGGAACCCCCTGTCTCCTTCATTCAACCTATTATCTTCTTCGCTTCGTTGACCGCAAACACCGAGAGATATGCCCAAGTTTTGCTGGAAGATTTGCGTGCTGCTGCGCGCGATCGGGCCGATCCTGAAAATCGGGAACGAGGCCTCCTTCCCCCCCAGATTCACGACCTGTCCTATGTCGATTTCGACGACTACTTCATCAGCGCCCCGAAGCCCCCTTCGACTTCGCCAGGAACACGCTATGTCTATTGCATGCTGATTCCGACTTACAACATCGATACCATCTTGAACACCTTCCTCGGTCACCTCGATGAAACTCATCATGACTTCCGCATTGACACTGCACCTCTGTCTGGTCTCGCTGGCTATTCTGTCTTCGGGTTTGGCGACAGGGAAGGATGGCCTACCGAAGAAGAAGGTTTCTGCTCACAGGCCAAGGAACTAGATCGCTGGATGGCGAAACTCACAGGCAGGAAGAGGGCCTACCCTCTTGGTTTTGGAGATGTCAAGAGCGATGCGGACTCGGCCTTGAACGAGTGGTCCCGCGGCCTACAGGATATTCTCGGTGATATTGTCGAAAATGGCGGCCTAGGTGAAGGTGTCCCTGGTAGTGGTGATCCGCTCGAAAGTGATGAGGAGGACTTGGACGACGAAGGTTCGGACTCTGACAAGGCAAACGGTCGGAAGAAGAACAAGAATCAATCGGTGGTCGACCTGGAAGATATCAAGTTCAGCTCGGACGCTGCATCCGGATCCCCTATCCCAGTGGATTTCACTACGGGTGGAAAGACGCCTGCGCCCGCCACTGAGAAAGAGATGGTGCCCAAGACCTCGCCCACCTATGCCTCTCTGACTAAGCAAGGATATACCATTGTTGGTTCGCACTCTGGTGTCAAGATCTGTCGTTGGACCAAGTCCGCCCTGCGCGGTCGTGGCTCCTGTTATAAGTTCTCATTCTACGGTATTCGCTCTCACCTGTGCATGGAGGCAACTCCTTCGCTTTCTTGCAGCAACAAATGTATCTTCTGCTGGCGTCATGGTACCAATCCTGTCGGCACCACTTGGCGTTGGAAGGTGGATGATCCGGAACTCATTTTCAATGGAGTCAAGGAAGGTCATTACAAGAAGATCAAGATGATGCGTGGTGTCCCGGGTGTGCGTGCGGAGCGTTTCGCCGAGGCTATGCGGATCCGTCACTGTGCTCTCAGCTTGGTCGGCGAGCCGATCTTCTATCCCCATATTAATCGTTTCCTGGACATGTTGCACAGCGAACACATCTCCAGTTTCCTTGTCTGTAACGCCCAACACCCCGACCAGCTTGAAACGTTGCATCGGGTGACGCAACTCTATGTCTCCATCGATGCTAGTAACCGCGAGAGCCTACGTAAGATCGATCGGCCTCTGCACCGCGACTTCTGGGAACGTTTCCAGCGCTGCTTGGACATCCTCCGGGAAAAGCGTCATTACCAGCGGACGGTGTTCCGTCTTACGCTGGTCAAGGGATTCAACATTGACGATGAAGTGATTGGATACGCTAACCTGGTTGAGAAGGCTCTGCCTTGCTTTATTGAAATCAAAGGCGTGACTTACTGCGGTACCAGCACCAGCGCCGGAGCTGGACTGACAATGCAGAACGTTCCTTTCTATGAAGAAATCCAGCAGTTTGTCACTTCTCTCAACGCAGAACTAGAGCGCCGTGGTCTGAAGTATGGTATCGCCGCCGAGCATGCTCACAGTTGTTGCGCGCTCATCGCGTCCGAGCGGTTCCACGTTAATGGCAAGTGGCATTCCCGGATCGACTACGATAGGTTCTTCCAGCTCTTGGAGAAGGAGAAGGCCGACGGTACCTCGTTCACGCCGGAGGACTATATGAGAGAAACCGAGGACTGGGCGCTGTGGGGTAAGGGAGGCTTCGATCCGAACGATGAGCGTGTCTACAGGAAGGGCAAGAAGAAGACCATTCAGGCTGCTGCTGAAGCTCAGGGATGATCGGCCTCTTCACATGGTATATGTGCCTATACATGGGTTGGGTTCCATAGCAGCCCGTCGGTTTGCCCGCGAGTCTCATTCTATGACGCGACCAAAAGCCCACACTCTTGCCGAGACTCCTTTCATCAGAGCTCGACCTACCAGCAGCGTGCCGAACAACGCTGCTTTACCAAGATGCGAAGTATCGCCCCACTGATTTCACGGACTTCGTTCGGGGAATGGCGAGTCCAAGGTTCTCTGTCCATGGACTCTGCCCCAAACCTCGTTTCACAGTGCCCGAGCATTCCGTGCCGCCGTTGTGAGGCCCACAGAAACGCTATATACGAAACGATAAGGCTAGTAGATTTCATTTATGACTTCCTGTATCTAGTTCATATTACGAAATGACACATGTCAAATGAGGTTTTGTAGCTCATGATCATACGAGTTTTGCTTAAGTGGGTTTGTTGTGACAGCCGTTGAATATGGTTCTGTGTGGCCGTTTCAAATTCCTTTGTTCCATACGTCTTCGCAAATGGCCTTCAGGTCGTTCTTCTAACCTCTAGAACTGATGTACTACAGGCTGCCATGGCTTGGCACGTCTTTCTCTAAGGCTGTCCTTGGCCGTGCATTCTGGCTCGAGCCGAGAAGAAGATCCATCGGCTGGGCTTTCTGTCGATCTGCTCCTAAAAGGCTCTCACACCCAGGGACAGCTCGGGCTGAACAAATTTCGTACTCGACTGACGCGCCGGTGGATTGGTTGCCTGCGTCGGCTAGTCATGCTTGTGGGGAACGATCCGAAGAAAGTGGATCAGCAATCAGTGGGGACCACTTTCTGAACTGCCGTGCAGGTACGACTGCTTCAAACATATCGTCAATCTCGCTGGGCGTCCGATCTTTCATCTCTGGCACGTAAAGCCATGCACCCACGAGGGCAATGGCCGAGAAGCCCGCACATACGAAACCGGTCTTACCGCGTAGGGTCCCCCTATCAGGGTTGAAGATGTACGGTAAAATGAGGTTGAAACCGACGCTGGTGAGTCCGGAAACGAACCAGCCCAAACCTGGGGACTTGGCCGGAAGCTGCAGAGACGATGCCTCTCCACCGATAGCGTAGGATGCTGGCCATGCACCAATACCGCAGGCCGCGATTACCGTGACTAGTGTGATTCCCGTGTACCTGAACGACCATTGGCCTTGGTTATTGCATATCATCTCCAGACAACTTGCCAAACACTAATAGTTCCCGGGAAGCAGTCGGCAATCCCCATACACATCCAAGCGAGGGTCGAGACGCTTAGGCTGACAATAATCAGAGGCACACGTCCAAATCTGGACAAGGTCTGCATGCTGATGAGGTTAGCTGCCAGCCCCAATCCAATGCCAGCTTGTAGAAACAGAAAGCTTCTGTGGTGCTCCATGCCGACTAACTGCAGAAAATAGCGGGTCTTAGATAATAAGGGTAGACCGAAAAACGAAGGGATGAGGTTCGCAAACATGACGATTATGGTACGCCGCCGGTCGACGCCTCTGAAGCAGTCACGGTACCCAATCGCCTTGCTTGCCGCGTCTCGATCCTCTTTTTCAATGAATGCCCGTAGTTGCTCGAAATAGTTTTGCGACTCGATACGTCGGGCTTTCGGGGAGAATAGCTGCAACTAGCAGTGGTAATGCAGAGAACGGCCACTGTGAGATGAATCAATTCTTAATTCATCGGTTTCCGGTAATATCTAGAGACTTGTACACCACTACAAACCCATCAATTGACCTAGGAGGATGAAGATCGGAAAGAAGGCCAGCATGGGGCCTCGCAGCACGGGAGGCAGGATCTCAGATATACATGTTTGGGTTGTGCATGTGATCATATGAACAGCGAGACCCTGCACAAGCTTTGCGACCAGAAAGATTGCTCGGCGGGCATCTATATCATCCGGAACGTTCGACATGTACGCGACTGCAACTGCAGCTGCTGACAGTACAGCCGCGAAGGCTAAGCAAAAGCGACGTCCGGCACCATCTTGTAGCTGTCCTGCGGTTATAGCGCCAAACAGACCGCCAAGGGGGCTAGCTACGTCCCATAGGCTCAGCCATAAGGACGGGATGATGAGTGCTCCGTTCAATCGGTGGCCGAAATCGCGTCTCGCGAGGTTAGAGATGCTACGAAGACACAACTCGAAACAGTGCTTACTGAAACCCCGGCATAGCGGAAACATTTCCCACGATAACTAAATCATACTTATAGAGCAGGATACCAGACGCCAGTGCTACGCAATAACCCAAAATCCTCGGGTAATGTTCGATAGCCGCCAAGAGCGATGAGGAAGGTGTTCCCTGCGACTAGAAAGGAACATGTTGTCTAGGAGGAACCTTACTATTCCTTGATAGGAGCATTATGCCTGTGCGTAGAGCAGCGGTCAACAATCGTACGATTGATGGCATGATATCCCCTTTTAAGTACCAACGCCGCGGCATGAGTATACTCCGGAAAGTCAGGGCCGACCGGGGGTAGTTGCCCTTGCCTACGTGAAGTTTACACGAGGTTGTACAGTGAGTTTGGACAAGGTTCCAATTGCAATGAAGCCATGCCTCCATTGGATGCGGTCAAAGCAATTGGTGGGTTGAGTAACCCGGGTATGCAGCCATCGGTAGGATGAGTGCATGCAGGACTGCGTCGTGACTTTGATTATTCAGACATCTGCTGACCTGGCAGTCTGTTCATCGAGGTCGATTCCACTAGTTGCCACTCGAACAGTCACCTGCGGTACGGAACTTGATTGTTCGACAAGTGCGTGAAACATCATGGTCTTGCAACTTCTAGACACCGGATGAACGGAACAACGAGGTGTACCAACAGAGCCAGGCCGCGATTTCGTAACGTTGTTGTCTCTTTGGCATTGATTTGCACCTGGTCGGTGTAGGTCACTCCGGCTAGCCTGGGCCATAGGCAGACCGACTGTCCGTAGACTAATGATGCTGACCAGGTTTAGATGGTACTTGGGCCTGAGCACATTGAACTTCCTGTTGAGGGGATATCCGGATGTCATTATAATAATACTCTGTTGGGCATCAAGCAGTGGAGAGTTCGAAAAGGGTCCTGCGAGCCGTCATTCGGAGACAGCGATGAGCTTCGCTCAAAGACGGCTGACTGACAGAGTACTTGAATTGCGAACATGCAGATTTGACGGCAATCAGTCGCTAGCTTCTCGACGTGAGCCGTCCTCAGGGGATGCTCATGCTGCAGGAAGTTCTCCTAACCGTGCTATAACAGCGGGAATGGGTTCATCCTAGCCGTCTTCTCCTTGCAGGGATACGAAAATTTAGCCTGGCTAGTCACTGGGGATTCCTTGAAGAAGACCGGTCAGAAGACTAGTCTCCAAAGCAGAAAAAGCAAGACAGGCACTAAGTAGCCGATCAGGAATGTTCTAGGAATGTCACTCATCCCGCCAGTCCCTGTCCGTTGCACGTGCCGAGATCAAGACGAAGATCAAAAAAGCAACTATTACAGGCGGACTTCAGGGGGGAAGGAGTTCCTGCTGCACCATTGCTTACTGTTTGTTTGTGTGTGTGGCGAGCTGCGAGGGACTTTTTTTCTTTCTGGAAACGGTTTCCGATCGACGGAGATTGCGGAACAACCCTGGTTTAGTACGTTGCCGGGCTTCCGCGGACTTGCGAGGGCTACGATTCCGTGAGAAGCATTTCATTTTAATTATGTTTTCTTGTTGCTGGTCGGCTGTTTTGTGTGCGGTGGAACTCGGATAGTGGCAGCATCTGATCTATCGCAGTCAATCGTCTTGGTCGTTTCTTTTTTGGAAAATCCGCCACGTGCTGCGGACGCGCTCGGACAAATGGCTTCCATGTGGCAAGATGGTCCTTTCCTACGCACGCCTGTGTGTCACTGAGATGAGGATTACGTTGGGACTCCTCATGGCCTGCCGATGGTGAAACGGCCAAACTGGATTTCTTAGTGACAGGCCCTTCCTTCGTCGGGGACCAACGTCAGCCAGCAGTCAAAGAAGGTCCACGCAGTGTGGTCCCCATATATGTGCCGGTATTATTTTCCTGTTATCTTTTTTGGGTCGGGCTCACATGCCAGACTCAGAGGGAACAATGGCCTTGACTGGGGATCAGCTCGGGGACTTCTTTCTAAAATTAACGCCAATTTAAATTACACTTCGGCATGCGGGCCTGCTGTCTGCAGTGTGCTGCTAGTCGACTGCTCTTGCGTTCTATCAATCGCTCCATCGACCCTGTTAGATCCGCTTAGTGTTCCTGTGCCAGGCATTTTAGCGTCCGCGACTTTCCTCCAAATGGGAAAAGAAAGTCAAGAGGCTACCGTCCGCCTGGGACCTGCACAAAAAGGAGGGAGGAGGGGAGGGGCCCATGCAGGAGCAGTACGATTGCTCACTGAGATGATCCTGCATCCTGCAGTCGGAGTCAGGATTGTAATCCGCCGGGCTAACTAAAGGTAGGCATCAATTTGACCGGGTTGAAATGAATGGTTTCTGGCATGAGTGGTCGATATGGCTCAGTGTCAAAATCAAAACATACTGAAGGGATCCACACAGAGCATTCAACACCGTTCGAGAAGCGGGCTATTGATGCATGCCGCATTGGATCTGAGCGACAGTCAATAGTGGCAATTCCTTTTGATGGCTGGAGATTTCATACCACATTATTTGCATTCATTCAATTTGTTGTTTGCCATCCGTGCCTCGAGGCGGGCTATCCCCACCCTCCGGATGGGCTTCCGTGCGGGCGAAGGAGACCCGGTGAAGCCCTCTTTTTTCCCAAATAGCAGAGGATCTGCTTGAGTCGTGAGGCTGTCAATCTCTGACGGGGCGGGGATTTTGCTACACAAGATGTCTGAACAATTTGGACAGTAACTCCTGGAAAGTTGGAGGGGTTTTTCTCCTTCTCCTACTGTTTTCTGTACTTCTCTTTTTGCTGGGAACGCGTCGGTTAAGCAACGCGGTTCCTCTTCTTCCCAGCCCCTGGATTCAATCCACCGCAACCACAGCAACTCCCAGGTGCCAAACCAACAACCTAAACTCCCTACCATCCATGGTTCTACCCCTCGCATTCGGGGACTCCCTACCCATGACAGTTAGAGAGGGACGGCCCCTGTCCCGATAGAGTATAAAATTTCTGCACCGTCCCTGACTCGTCCGTCGGGGATGCTTCCTTTCCTGGTGGCAAATCCGACCGAAGTGGATCGACAGCACCACGCACCCAATCGACGTCCACTGATGCACTGAAACTACCGACAGGCTGGAGCAGCATCTCCTCCACCTCCAAATTCGGACTAATCGCAAACACGCTTAAGAAATCAAGAAGCCATTCGCAGACGGGCCCTGACTCGAAGGGAGTCCGCTCACGTCTCCCATCCACAAACAAGACCCAACAACGGCCTGCCAGCCCTGAATCCACCGCAATTATACTGGACCGTGGACACGGTCCAACATCTGCAAAAGTAGAAACAAATTGACACTTCCTGCAGTCCAACTAAGCGAGCCTGCTCAGCTCGCCTGGCTCAAGTTAGTCCTACGTAGATCGCCTTCTCTTTTAGGAGTGCGCACAAGCCCATCACCGTCTCCTGGCGGAGGACGGATGAACATCTGCGACCCGACTAGTCCTGCACCGTTTGGGATCCGACGCGATTAGCTTCGTGTCTACTGCTAGTCCCGGTACTGGTTCTGGACCTCCCCGGCATTTCGGGCCTTCTCATATATTGGGTCATCCCCACCCCGCGGGAGCTGAGCTGAGCTTTCTCGAACATGCCTCGACTGCGTCTGTAGCATGGCTAAGGATGACCGCAGCCTCGAGGTCAAGGCGGTTGCGGCCGCCTTTATGTCAGTTGCATGTGTGACTGTCATACTACGATGTTACGTGCGCGGATGGATCGTGCGAGCCTTCGGCTGGGATGACTGGGCCATGGTGGTGGCCATGGTACGTCTTATCCTGTATTGACTTCAACGCATGGTGTTCTAATCAGCAGCATGTCTAGGGCTTCTACGCCATGTTCTCGGGATGCATGATTGGAGGCAGTCTATACGGTACTGGACGACGTTTCAAAGACTTGGATGCGCATCAGCGTGTAACCGCCATGGAGGTCGGTACTCCTTTCCTTTTACCCTCACACATCCAACCTAACCTGGGCCGACTATAGTACTGGTGGTTTTGTGAAATTGCCTATTGTTTTGCGGCCGTCGCCTGTAAAATCTCCGTCTGCATTTTCTTGATGCGCATCACTGTTCGACGCCTCCATATCTGGATCCTCTGGACCGTCATGGTCTTGACCGTCATTGCCGGCATGGTCTTCATGTTCATCATGTTGCTGCAGTGCAAGCCACTCGCCTACTTCTGGACTCGCAAGGCCTTCAACCCGGATATTCACGGCCACTGCATGGACATTCACATCGTCATCGCCATGACTTACGTATACAGTGGGTTTGCAGCGCTGTGCGATTTTACCGTCGGCCTTTTGCCCATCTTCCTTGTGCGCAAGTTGCACATGAAGCATAAAACGAAAATGGCTGTGGTGGGCATTCTGAGTATGGCATGCATGTATGTAACCTCACTGCTTCAAAGCATAGCCGATGAAACTAACCAACTCCAACAGCGCCTCCTCTGCCACCATCATCCGTATTCCATGGGTACATACCTTCGCGGACTGGGACTTCCTCTGTACGCCTCCCACACTCTATCCCAACCCGCACAAACCCCTTACTAACCTCAACCAGACGCAACCGTCGAAATCGCCCTCTGGTCCAACATCGAATGCGGTCTAGGTATCACCGCCGGCAGTCTCGCCACCCTCCGCCCCCTTCTCCGCAAATGGCTCGGCTCCAGCGCCGACCACAACTACGACGCATCCCCATTTCCCGGTCCCTCCGGCTCGCGCCCGCTCGGCAAAAGCGGCGGCATGGGACGCAGCCACGACCGGCCCTACCCGCTAGGCTCGCTCGACGAAGCCGCCGTGCAGAACCGTCTCCGGCCGGACAAACTGGCCGTGACCGTAACGACGATCCAAAGCCAGGTGGACCCCGATACGCGACTCTGGCGCGGCGGGTCATCGAACAGCAGCGAGGAACGGCTGACGGGATCCTCGGGTAACGCGGAGCGGACGCATGGAACAATCCCCGAGGGGTCTGATTTGGAATTAGGCATGGGATTAGGTATCCATCGGACGTTTGAAGTGACGCAAACTTCCTCGGGAGGCACGTCACATAGTACTGTGGGGGTGAGGGAGCATGTCTGATACTGATACCTTTGACTTTTTTCCGATTGATCGATTCCCCTGGGTGTATACGTTATTTGGGTTGCATTGGGCTGGAGTGGGTGGATCTTTCCTTTGTTTTATGCTTTTTCCTTTTTGATTTCCCTGATATTTTGGGATTAATGAACATTGCATATATTGCATCTATAGCATGTTGCATAGAGCGAGCGCATGAATATAATGATTTACTTCATTACCGATCCAATTTCATGGTGAAACCGCGTACTATACGGAGTACTTGGCAGTGATGTGGACTCGTCAGATCTAGAAAAGCTTGGTAGACTTGCATCGGGATCTGGCATTTCGGACGAACCCCGGACTACGTAGATAGTTCTCGATTGATAGGTCAGATTCGGTGGTTGATGATCGATCGACCGATCGATCAATCAATTGCTGACAGTTCGCATATGCAGGGAAAGTTGAAGTATCGAGTCGGGATAGATCCCGGTTGGGCGGAGAATACAGCCGATGCAAGAAGTATATTTATCTACTACTATCTATACTTCGTAGAGTAGTGTGTGG